AGATTTACTGGCTGGTGCTCAACCCTGAACCCTGCATGGACACACACAATTACGAAGAAAGCTGGGAAACAGTGTTGTTAAAATTCCTGCAGCTCTGGTATGTTAAGGGGAGTGATTTACATTTATACACAACCCTTCCGTCCTTGAGGATTTCAGAGAGCTCCACAGCCTTTTGTAATGGCAAAATAAAGTATGTTAATTTGTTAAAGGCTTTTTTCCCCCCCCAGAATTTGTTACCCTACTTTTTAAAGCAAAAGCAAAGCAAATGTGCTGCTTGATTCTACAGAGCCAACTGCATTAATGTCAAGCCAGTAAAGCAATTTATACTTGAAGTTTAGCCTCTTGTTTTCAGTTCCCAGTGGAATCAAATACAAGCTCTAAATGACTTCTATGAATTGTCATGGCTTTCAAAAGCAGTGTGGGAAATGCATTCAAATGGAGAAAAAAAGATTCTTTACTAAAATTGTTCAGGCTTTGTCATCAAAACTGCACTGTTGCTTTATGCTGGCTGCACCAAAAAAATTCTTCTTGAATATTTTTGAATGCTCTATAAAAGCTTCCCTGTCTCCTCTTACCTTAAAAGGAAAAAAAAAAAAAACCACTTTAAGAAAACAATAAATCTTTTTTTTTTGTTGCTGTTGCTTTTGTTGAACATGTACAGCCTCAGGAGCAAGACATGAATGTCAGTTCCCATGAACAACTGAAGTGAACTTGACGGTAGAGTTTCTTCAGATAAGCCTGTATTGTGATTTTTCAGTTACTGGGATACTCCTGCCTGTTAAGTCCTCAAACTGCTTGTTCTCTTCATACCCACCTCATGCTGCTAGCTATGCCTTGTTATGCCTTTGCACAGCCATAACAACATTCTTCCTTAACCTCTTAAATTTCCTGGAAATGCCATGTAGAGAAGACACCAGAGTTAAGCTCCAATGAAAACATGCACACACTCTTTGGCAGAAGTTTCAGCAAATGAACACCGTAAAATGCTCCTATTATGAGAAGTTTGTGAGAATTGTTTTGTTGCTTATGTAACGTTCCACAATGAATTATCAAGAAAGGTGGAAAGAAGATCTGGGCTGCCTTTGACGTGGTGAGATTTTTCCGTGGAGTCAACATCCACTGAATGATTCATTGTGAACATCAGATCACACAGATGCATTTATATGGCATGTRTGTTATACTTTAGAATGCATTTTTTTTTCCAGCAGTAGAACATTTGTGTATTTTATAGCTGTTTTCCCATACTTGTTGATGGGGAAATGGTGTTATTATGATGTAAGTGTCACGTAGTGAAGTCAGAATGGTGCCGTTTCACAAAAATAGTCTAAACTGGAATTTTAAAGCAGCACCTGTTTCTATTAAAACCAACCTATGAAGTCATCAGTAAAATGGTATGTCTAAATTCTGTATGATCTTAAATGAGTTAGCGTACTGCGTTTCCAGTAGTAGGTAAACCCTTCTTATCAAAATTGTTATGTATTTATGTAATTGTAAAGTATTCTTCACATAAGATCTATGTTTTGATGCATTTTCTTCCACATCAATCACACTTCCTGTATATAAAAATAGAAAAAAGGCCAGTGTAAAATGAGGCAATTTGTCAGTAATCAAGAACAGTTGCTGCATGATTTTGCATAYGATTGTTTCTGCTTCATCTGTATGCAAAGAACTAAATTCTGTGTCTGAATCATGAGCAGATTTTAAAATGCTACCATCAGTACACACAGACTTGGCCAACTTCAAGCCACAACACACATGCAATTAAGTCAGGGTAGCATCCTGTAATCCTGCATTTATTAACCATTCTGCGGCTTGCAGCACTTAAATTTCAGAGAAATTCTTATTTTCTGCCTAAAATTCCTATTTAGTGACTCTTTATTGTATTTTATTATGGATTTTTGACAAGACCAAAAAAATCTCTAAAAGCCTTAAAAAAAATCACCACAGACTCACATTAAAAACACTTCAGCATTCTTTGGTGAATCTCATATAGCCCCACGAATGAAAGAGAATATGGACATTTCTCTATTCTCTTGAGGGCAGAAACATGTATGAGGAAACAAATGTTGTCTAATCTTTTATCTGCCTTTTCCCTAGAAGATCAATATATGGGTAGAACAGCASTTTGAAGCCCCTCTGTTGTACTTCATTACCAGGCATAACTTGCCTGCTTTTGGCCAGTTTACAGTCCCTTGTGTTATCTGGCACACCCATGGCTCAGACTAATGCMAACTGACACAGCTCTGAAAGATGAAAAGCTCTAAAATGCAGTGTCATAGAAAGAAAACAAATATTTTCAAGTGGGATAAACTCAGAAAAGCACTTTTAAGCTAGATGATATGAAACAACAATTGCCCTTTTCGTTAAAAAAAACTTCAAGATTTACAAAGACTTTTGGACAAAGTTCAGCATGAAATTGCATACAAAATAAACTATTGCTTTTTTTTGTCCTTGTTTTGACAAATAGCAAGATTTTAAATGGCTTAGAAACATTTGCTTTTTTGCTTTTGTTGTGCACTCTATGTGCATTGATAACTATAAACTCCCGCACAGCATCAGCAATGTATTACCTAATCCACCTCATTACATAACCACCTCATGCCTGACAAAAATATTTAATTAACAAAAAAAAAGCAGCAAAGTTTTACTGTTCAACATTAACTTCCTTACCTTGTGTTTTAACAAAATTATTACATTTTCCCTCTTCATTTTCAAGTGAGTATCTCCACATTGTCCCTACTCTCTCCTTTGCTCAATGAAATAAAAGGCTGCCATCTCTAACAGTAGTTAAAAAATACCATGGGGTCACCAGCCACCGTCTCATCCATTTCCTCCTAACAGCTATATGATGAACACCCACTCTGCTGCAACTATGAAGTAATTTGAAGCAGCTCATCCCTTAGTTAAAAAGACAGAGCTAGGAAGTGCATACCAGTGGTTCCTGCAAAATACCTGACACGTGAGATTTAATATCCTAAGGTTACCTCACTGTAATTAATTCAAGCTTCTGGACATGAAAATATGGACAGTCTTCTAAGAGTGCATTTCAGCACCTCTATAAACCAGATGCCAAATTAAACATATATAGCTGGCCATCATCTAGGCCCTGCTATTCAGACTAAAGATATAAGATCTTAAAAACTAGTAATAATACAGCTCAAACTATGCTCTTTACTAGCAGATGCCTGAATTGTTTTATCAGAAGCTGTAATCACTGTCTCCCATCTCACAAACACAGCAGTGAAGGTAAAACAGGTACTGCTCAGAAGCCCAGCACCAGGAATTCCAACACCAGTCTTGGACGTGGTACTGCACTTTGCTACTAAAGGCAACACTTAAGTCATGCCTGATAATCTGTTTTAACTATCTGTCCCTCAAGTGTTTTAAGAACCAGAGATTTTCCTGTAAAAGCAGGATGYTTTACTAACCCACCACGCACTCCGAGGCTTATTAGGGTTTTACAACAAATACTTTTCAGCTTCAGCTCTTAGTTTCCCTTCTCACAGCTGTCTCTCTCTCTGTACTGTAATAAACAGAGCACTTCCCATAAGCAAAGCAGAGAAAAAGCTGGAGTGGATTCCTGTGCCTTACAGCTGCACCAAGTTATCTCCTCACACTACAACAGGAGAAAAACCTCATGCAAGTTGCTTGTTTAGTGGCAGTCTGGAAGCTCGTCTACCATGTTTCCATACTGAAGGATCATCACCTACCCTTGCAAGTAACACTGACTACTGAGGTAAACTGAAACAGTCAAACAGCCTGAGGAGAAGGCCAAAGTTAAGATTTTTTCTGCCAAATTCTCAGCAACATTCACTGCAAGTATGGGGAAAGTGTATGACCTGGGATTTATATGCCATTTGGCTGCTGAAAGTTAGAAGAGACGGATGTAAACCAATATTGGGGGCCACTGATAATCTTATTTAGGGGAAATTTAAAGCCAGGTGGAAGACAAAAAATGACATCTGCTTTCTTTTTTAAACCTTCCGAGGAAAGGAGTTTTGCAAGAAGTACACTTGCTCTGAAATAGCACGGAGAAAGTTAATCTAGAGGCTGCCCACTGTTCCTGCCATCAGGTCCAAGATTCTAATTAGGAGTCAAGGCATTTACAGCTGCAGAAAAGAAACCAGGGGTTACACAACTGGAAAGATCATAAGAATGTACAGTGCAGAAATGCAAAGATACTCACACAAGGAAATCATATCCGCAGATTTAGGAGATCTTCCTAAACCCTCAGCAGAACATATTTCTCTGTGCTATAGCAGTGGAAGTCTGTCAGGAGATTGCTAAGTACCTTAGCTCCCCATGTTCCTCAGTACATTACTTAACTGCAGGAACTTTTCTCCAAGTCAAGCCAGCAGACGCTCTCTAATACCTAACCCGTAATTCATCAAACTCTTCATCTTTTAAGCCAAAACTTGTCCACGGGCTCCTCACACAATGGGGCAYGAGCCAAGGCCACAAGCTGGGCACCTACACATTAATTTTTTATAAAAATGAGGTAAAAATTCTCATGCAGCCTCCATACTGTGCAGAGGTTCATAAACACATAATAAATTAAATACAGAGAAAAACAGTCACCAATGGGACCACAATCCTGAGCTCCAGCTTTACTTCATACTGAAGGAAGCTGTCATCTTATGCTGACTACACTCTCAATTAAGCCTACTTTACCAAGCGTTCACAAAGCAGCTTTTATCTGAAAGAAAAGCTATCATCTAGAAATAGCGTAAGGAGATTCCAATAGGGAATCAAGTGCAATTTTTTTCTTCATGCTGGAAATCTGTTTTGCCTCTCAACAGGATGCAGAATGTTGGAGCATTACTAATTTTACTAACATTACTAATCTGAGAATTATCTTGTTTTTAATTATTTTGAGTTTTATCTGTGTTGACATGTTACCAAAACTCAGATGTACATAAGAAATTCTCAAAATATTACAGAGGGGGAGTGCAGTGGGCGATGAATGCAGGGCAAGGTATATTTTTTGCAGTTATACTCACATTGAAAAGGTGATACAAGCTGATCCTGGCCCACCCTCAGTGGTAGCGAGCCCTCTGTGGATTGTTCTCCTGAAATCACTTTTTTTACTGGATAATATTTGGGTTTGATCACATATTCCTGTGTTTGGCCATGATGAAGATTCATCATCAGTGTCTGTGATGAAAGGGGCATCATCCTGTTTTAAGGAAAAAAACAGAAGARTAAGGAATTAACAAAACTAGACTAGAAAAGAATTGGTTAAAAAAGAGATTGATCCCTCAATAGTTTGTGACACTTGCCAGCCTCAAACTAAGCACAGGACTTTTCCATACATTGGGCATTCTCCTGTGTCAGCTTAAGAGACATCTGAGAAAGCTAGAAAGCTTTCTATCGATGGGAATTATATCACCTTCCGATTGAAGCACCCTGATCTCGGGCAGTTCAGAGAGCAGAGAGGGAAGGGAAAAAAATCCCCTCAAAATCATGAATTGGAGCTCCAGTCTGGGAGCAGCGTTAAGCACAGAGTGTGCCTAAGCCTCTCTTTCCTACAGCTGACATTTTAGATGAGGCATGGAAAATAGGACCTATGCCCAGCTGGCTTTGCCTCTGTTGCCAGGGCCTTCCCGACTACGGATACTCCTGACTAGAGCCACTGCACCGCTGCTCCTTCCTTCCTTCCTTCCTCCCGTGCTGTCCTCCCCTCGCCGGAGCTGTCCCTGTTTCTCAGCTCCGCGTTACGGGCTGTCCTGTCCCCTTTCTCTCTGCCCGCACCAGTGCGGAGCTCTGAGGGACGCCTCGCAACCACACGGCTCCCTTCCAGAGCAAAACATTTCCTCCTCCTGTCAAACCAGACTACTGCTTCATGATCCCCAACTCTCTCACCTGCAGTCCCGGCTCCCTATTGGCACTGTTAACTCACTCCCTAAAACCTCAGCTTCCCGCTGCACCAGACCATGCCAGCTTTCCAAGGAAACCTCCCTCCGCTTCCCGTCCAACAACCCCGCTTTGTGTACACACAGCGAGACCAAGCTCTTCACAGACAGCCCAGTCGGCTTCCCCACAGCTGAGGGGCACGCCGGCCCACCCCAGGGCTGGCTGCCCACCAACCACCCCTCACAGTTGCTGGCCACATGAAATGGAGAAGCAAGCTGCTTGTGGGCCCTGGGCAGCAGTGTCCCCGCTGCTGAGCTGGAGTTGCAAGTCTTAAAGGAATGAGAGCTCCTGTGGATGCCACTATAAGGCCATATATTCCTCAGGGAAACAGCACCAGTTACTAAGCTAACAGCAGTAGCTGCTAGGACAACACTATCCTTTGCCCCAACARGGCATAAAGAGCAGGGTGCTTATGAGGCTCCTCCACCTTCTTCCYAGCTAAGGATTATATAATGCAAAAATAAGGGTAGATCACAGCATTTGCAACAGTCTTCCTCAGAAAGCCACGCATCTAGAGTAGATGACTTCTCTGAGCATAAATGCATAGGTCTCTGAGCCCCATTGCATAGGTGACTGTCCAGAGCAATGGACCTGAAGAATTTCTGCAGAGCTGAGCAATGATTTGAACATTGTGCTTCTACACTTCAGTCTGGGCCAGCCCCTATCTCCAAAGTAAAGCCTGATGCTTTAGCCCTGCTATCTGGGGATGCTTAGTAACTACTGCAGCCAAGGCATCTGTGGTTAGCACAGACAATAGCATTTTGTCCTACCAGACTCATTGTTAACTTGGATCTACTGGAGAAAAATGCATTTGTGAGCACAGAAACTCTATGACCCTTACACACAGCAGTAAAAATAACTCCTCAGGCTACTTCCCAAGCCAAAACTTTCTAACAGGGTTCTTGCATAGCCTCTTTGTATTTGTTTACTTTCCCCCAGATTAAGAGAGGATACTATAATTTCAGTGCTGCCTTTAAGCTTCCTACATACCAGATCAAAGCCTCACCTCATGTTACCTGCAAYTGGAATCTGTATCCTAACTAACCTCAAAGCAAATAACTACCATGGCTCAAGGTCTGCCTGCCAACGTGTCAGAAAGGAAAAAAATAAAAATCATCCTGCTGGTTTTTAATTAACAGAAYAGCAGGCAGTACACTCATATTTTGGTATTATAACTATCCTTGCTTCCTTTAAGAAATATGTCTGTATTTCTGTCTGTTGCAAACTTTCTAAGATGTTAAGACTCCTTTCAGAGTACACAGGAGAAGCTATGCCTCTCCTGAAAGTGATGTGCAAGTAGGCCCTGATAACAGAAGTCTGTATTACAGCAATCTTAAAACATAACTAGTTGGACAGCATTATCTTCTTCAGACAGACATAGACAGATAGCATCTTTAAGCATCATTTTGCTTTCAACTAAGRCCATAACATGTCATAAAGTTTTTTTATATATATAATTCCACATCTCTAGTCACACTATAGCCCRAACTCTTCATTCTTCAATAGAGCTCATCATAATATTAAAATACACACACAGAGCAAAGCATATAGTAAAGGCAGAAGTGCCATACACGAAATGCTGAAAATTTTAGCACCAAAAATCTAAAAAGTTTGCCTAAATATTCCTTAGCAGATATCATATCTTTCTTTCTTTCGCCAGTACTCATGTAAGGCAATAGAAGAGTAAGCTTTGCTTTACAAGCRGGGTTTAACTTGGCAATATATAGACAAGCTATAATCTTTACTCTAGAAAACTCCACCTCTTTAGGGGAAATAGCTTCACCTGAAGTGCGAGTTGTTGCTCTCATGCGTTTCAGTAGAGGGTCACCTCTACTGTCACCTGTCCTCATATCACAAAGTTTGCTGCACAAAACTTGCACGGCAAAAGATGAAGTCAGGTTTGCGAAGTGAGGAGTTTTTTTAGAGCCCTTTCTTGCATGTTTTTCCTGCAATGCTGATCTTCTTGACGTGTAACTGCCAGTAACCTGCAGCATGCCCGTGAGTACAAGTATTCCAAGTATTTAAAAGCAGCCCAGTATCACCTTAGTGCTAACGTGGATGAGAGCTAGCTGGCGGGATTTKGCCAGTCATCGTATCAGCGCCACTAGCCTTGCTCAGGAGAGATCAATTCCAGCAGAAGCTGATATGATCCAGTATCAACAGATTTATGTGATCTCTCAGTTCTGACTGTTCTTTTGATATTCAAATTCTCTTCAATGTGACCTAGTTCTTAAAGATGGGTATTTATAAAATCACTGAATCATCATGGTTGGAAAAGACCCTCAAGATCATCAAGTCCAACTAAGTCCAAGCTAAGGAATGAAGCACTACACTTGTTATTAAGGGCAAATAACTCTTTTGCTATAATAAGAACTGTGCCCACAACAATGTATAACTCTTTTGCTCTAATAAGAACTGTGCCCACAACAATGTATTTTGCTGCTTCTAAACGTTAGCCTGTTGTGTGTCCATCTGGTACCATGCACTCGAACAGTGCAGGGCTCAGAGGAGGCCCTGGGCACTATCTGAATGCTGCCAGGAATAGAAGTTAAAAGCATGCAAGTCATTCTAACCTTTTAATTTTGCATGAAACAGCCTAGACTTTATAAGACATGTGCATTATGTAGGCTCACGTCTCTAATATACATGGTAGATTGTAATTAGACATTAACTTCAATAAACTTGACAAAAAACTTTCCGTAGCTGGAGTGCAGCCCAGGCAGACAGGCAGATGTCTAGCTGGATTTCCAGCAAACAAACAGTGCTAGAGCTACAAATAAGCTCATAGGGGCACTTCAAAGGGAGAACAAACATCTGTATTCTTAGCTACGCCTCACGCAGGAGGAAGTCCTCTTGTTTGATAAAAGCAGAGCTGGAATGCTGTGTATCAGAGAAACTCTGGCAAGCAGAAACGAGAGCAGCAATACTTGGCATGGGAAGCACTGTCTAGACTAAATAAGCTGAGCCTGACTCAGGCTGCTTTCTTCATTTTATTTACTGTAAGTCTGATGCCCCCACCGCTGGCTCCCAGCTAGCAGTACTTACAGCAAGCCAATTTGCTAGCACAGTTGTTTTATACAACCCTGGAAATTAATTCCTGCTCCTTCTCTAGCATCCCTTAAATTCAGAAGAACAGTCCAAAGGAGAAGAAAATTTTAGAAAATGAAGTTAGAAGTTATGAGATAATAAAGAAAATAAGCAGAACTGTTTTAAAAGGCATGAAAATAAAACTAAAATTACCTTTCAACCCCATAAATTATTAAATTCAGTTGCAAGCTCAGCCTGACCTTCGCCACTGTTTCTTCCTGCAGTTGCTTCTGTGATTTTTTTTAAGATACACAAAAAGTTTAACTTCCCAGCTGATGAACATATGGGATTTCTTCAAAGCTCTTTATATTATCATTCTCAGCATTAAAGAGTGGCCTATTTCACAACRTCCTACCAGCCACAAGAATTGAAACAGAGGAAGCATTCAAATGGTTCTTCTCCTCCCCATCAGTTATTTTGCAGAAAAATTGACTTCTTGTATACAAATATGCAATTATATATATATAAATAAAATCCTGTTCCTGAAATACAACATATATCTATAATGTGCATGGATGAATATGTGTGTGTTTATAAACACACACATACATTTTATATTATATAAAGCTACCTKAGCTTTATGTTTTTGCCATTACACTTTTTCTAGGCTAAATTTTGGAAAGACTATGGTTTGGTTATGACAAATTTGCTTTCAAATAATGTTCTTAAGTTATTTATTATTACTCTTGGGCTAAGTCAATATATTGCATCCATCACAGATGACTCATTGAGCCAATGTGACAAATATTTGCATTAAAAATCTGATCTTCAGGCACTTTATGTTACAATAATGGTTCTAAATGAAATCTGCAAGTTAATGGCAATCTAACTCAATAATAARGACCACTGAAAGTTTCTTTGCTGGAATTTCAATACAAAAATCTTTAGTAAACCAAACGTACAATTTATTTTCACCATGCCACATTGCATTTTCCATGCAGAATTTGCTTATGTTATCATAGTGGCACATTACTGAGCATTACACTGTGTATGATGAAAAACAAAGTACTGTGATAAAGACCCCGGTTCTAATCTCTAATCTATCCACCTGTGAGACATAATTGGAGTTAGGAAAGTCTGCTGCAATGGCAATTAAAAATAGAAACATGAACTCTGATGGTGGATACTACATGAAAACGGCAATCAGCACAGCTGCTGCCAAGGAAAACCATGCAT